GCGGCCGTCGGGCCCCGCGGCCGTCGGGCCCCGCGGGGCGGCACGCACCTGTCGCCGGCCCGCGGCGGCGCCGCCAGCTGCGCCACGCGCGGCAGCGTGTCGTCGGCGCGCAGCACGGGCAGCGTGCGCGACAGGAAGCGCAGCGTCTGGTTGCGGATCAGCTCGCTGCGAACACGGCCGAGGGTCAGCGCGCGTCGGGGGCGGCCTCCCGCCGAGCGGCGTCGGTACTCACAAGGGGTAGGGCTCCCCGGCGGGGCTCTGGCCCATGGGGTTGCGCGGGATGACGCCCAAGTTGAGGTCCCCGCAGAGGTTGTGCGCGGTCACGTGCGGCCGCGGGTCGGCGGCCTCGGGGCACTCCGCCGCGACCTGCCGGTACGGCGGGGGGCGCACTCTGCAACGTGTCGCACGTTTGAGCGCCTGCCGAGGTCGCGGCCGCGTTCGCGGGGCGAGCCGACTGCTGGACTCCCTTGTATTAGTTGCTTAAACTCTAAACTGACGTGGGTATGGCCGGTTTCTATTAAGACATGTCGTCACAACGGAGACCAATGTCCGTTCTTTGGCAGAAAATGCCGATCGAATAATAAAATCTATGCCGCGAGCCAAGTCTCCCGGTCGCGATGACCTTAGCATTGAGCACCTGAAATATGCAGGTCGCCTTTTGCCCAGGGTGTTGGCAGTGTTTTACCCTATGTGTGTGGGACACTCCTACCTACCTGCTCGGATGACGAGGACTGTGGTGGTGCCGATAGTTAACAAGAACGGCGACATTAGTGACAAAAGTAATTATCGACCTCTCTCATTGGCCACAATAGTTGCAATAAACACTTGATAGTTTGCTTAACAATGAGCTAGATAAATATCTGCATATACATGATAACCAATTTGATTTCAAGTCTGGACTCTCCACAGAAACAGCCGTGTTGTGTTTAAAGCAAACTGTCAAGTATTATACTGACAAGAGCGCACCCGTTTTTGCCTGTTTCCTCGACCGTACGTAGGTGTTTGATCTGATCTATTACGACGTCCTATGGAAAAAACTGCAGGAAATGGCTGTTCCAGAGGAAGTTTCACGTATTTTTAAGTATTGGTATCAGAACCAAGTCAACGTTGTTAGATTGTCGGGGGCCTGTTTGGTTCCGTACAAGTTGGAGTGCGGGGTGCGGCAAGGGGGTTAACTTCACCTAAGCTCTTCAATCTGTACGTGAATGCGCTGATAGAGGAGCTCAGCAGCACGCATATTGGCTGTCTTAATAGTGGAGTTTGTCTTAATAATATTAGCTACGCGGACGATATGGTGCTGCTGAGTGCTTCTGTCTGCGGCTTATCGAAGCCGCGTCGCATCTGTGAAAAGTATGCTGATAATGTGAAAAAAAGTGAATGCATGGTGTTTCAGGCCCGGGGAGAATGTCTAGATAATCCATCTGTTAAATTTTACGGGTGTACCCTAAATAGAGTGGAAAAGTTTAAGTATCTTGGACATTTTGTAACCTCGGGCCTGGAGGATGATGCTGACATGGAGAGGGAGCGTAGGGCGTTGTCAGTTAGAGCTAATATGATAGCTCGCAGATTTGCTCGATGTTCGAGAGACGTCAAGATCACCCTCTTCAGGGCATTTTGTACATTCAGCCACGGAGGCAGTTCTTTTGTTATTGATATAAAATTGTCACAAAAACCTTTAAATATTGAAATAAACACTCGACGTTTCCTATTAAATAAATTAACATAAACATAACTGAGAAAAACATTAAGATACTTGTCTTAGAAAGATTGTAATGTTAAAGTTTCTATTTCTACTGAGAACATTTATAAAACAGGCTATAACAGGGTGCTGATGAAATTACAAGCACATGGAACTTGGAACGTAAGGTGTTACAGTATGCAATTTAAAGCTCGTGAATGGAACTGCAACTATTATGAGTCGCTTACCATCAGGCGCCCAACCATCAGGCGCCCGACTTGGTCGTCCCGTCACCTGCTATTTTACAAAACATTTTTTGCGGTGAATAATTTGATGAATCGCTCAGCTGGCGTCCTCCCATAAAAAATACTATTTTTATCAACACGTATAAGCGACGATGGTCGCCGAATATAGTCGGTCAACTGTCGCCGTGAACAGAACTCCATTTTGTTCACTTTCACTGCCACAAAATGAAGTAACGCTAGCTGACTGCGTTCAGCCGTACAACGATTTGACAGCCGTCTCTTAATCGTTTCGCTTCTTGGCACCTTTTGCTACTTTTAATTTCGACGAAAATCAACACAACAAAGATACTGCTCATTGTAGATTTCAATGATTCCTGCTGAACAATAGTAATAAATCGATGTTGAATCTTTATTACAGATGTTCTATCTCTAACATTGCTACGCAATCGCGATACGCATCGTACGTCGGTCGTCGTCCGAGCCAGCAACCCACTTAGAATTACTACGCCGTCCATCCGCTCGATATCGTACAACGCGGTCGGGGAATGCTTAGAATGACGTTTGACTATATATATTACATTTCAGCTTTACTACGATTACGGCACAGGATACTTTGTTGCATACGATTATTGTAAGTTTATGTAGATTAATTATTATTTAAAAAACAAAAAAGTCGGCTGACTTTAAGGGTCGACCTGGGAACTCGCAAACGTTCCACGAGAGGCAGAGAGCTGAACTATAGAAAAGCGTTTACCTCGGCGGTGTGGCATTAGGCGACTCAACGAAGGCGTAGTACCCTTCGGGCGGGTCCTCGGCGTCCTCGCCGGAGGCGGCGGGCAGCTCGTCGGCGCGCGCCTCGGCCGCGGGCGGCGCGGCCCCGCCCGCTGGCGCCGGCGCCGGCGGCGTGGCTTCGGGCAGGGCCGATGATGTCAGCGCTGCTAGCGTCTGGAATGACGTAACGCACGGGTCACGGCTAGTGTCACGGGCGTGCTTCGTTTTCTCATAGAAAAACTTGAAAATTACCTGCCATCACCGCAGTTGTACTGCACTGTATACAGATAGGTAAGTAACAACCGATGATTACATTAAGTATTGTATTCCCGGAGTGGAGGCTGGGGAACGTAAAATGCCGTCTCAGAAAAGGACCTCGGAAGGTGTATAACTAGCTCATGTATTTTCTAATATTCTTTCCTGTATCCTTCTCTACATTATGGTGATCTTGCATAATCTAAGCGCTACACTTAATCTTTCGTTGAGAAAAAAAGCAAGCGAGAGCGTCACGACCGCCTGGTCCAAACCCGGACATACCCACCGACGCTAAGGGCTCGGATTAGAAAGTAAGGCGCGGAGTGGCCGGGTCCGCGATCAAATCGTGTCCTACGATAACGATACAACTATTAAATTACCCGCCTCAGTAGGGAGAGCGGGACTATATCTTTGTTGTGCTCATTTGCTCGGCAAAACATAAATTGAAGCACCAATTTCTAGCTAATTATTATTTTTGATACTTTACTTACTAGAAACACAAAATTGATATGCCTAAAGTCGACACGTGCTTATTTATATGTACGAGTATTAGTGTTTTAATAAGAAAGTTACATATGTACAATACTCTGAATCGTATCACAGTTATGGTAAACGCCCGAATGGGCGCACCGTTACTGCTGACCCGCATTCCGCACGCCTCGAGCGGCTGCCGACCGACTCGAGGCGCTGCGGCGTTGTCGTGCAATGCATACTTGGAGTGCTCCTTCTAAACCTAGAATCTTTTTCAGACTTACGTGCACGATTAAAATTTAATTCTATTTGTGCACACGTAAATGTAATAATTATTTGTAATGTATGTAACATTAAGGGTCGTATTCCAGAACTCTACTCAATGCCCAAGTCAGGATCTGAGTATGATTTCAAGCACTGGAAATACGACCATAATCACATTGAGTATTGAGTAGAGTTCTGGAATACGACACTTAGGGTCGTATTCTAGAACTCTACTCAATGCTCAAGTCAGGATTTGAGTATGGTTTAAAGCACTCGAAATCATACTCAAGTCCCTGCCATTAGGGTCGTATTTCCAATGCTTGTGTTTCCAGTGCAATCCTGACTTGAGCATTGAGTAGAGTTCTGAATACGACCCTCAGTCTATCATACTCGTACCTACACTTCTCACTTCATTGTCTTGTTACAAATTATTAGATACCTATGTTTCTTCATTTGTTATAAAGCATTGTTGAATATTCTTTTATCGTGTCTGTAAAAACTTACATAAATTGTGTCTCTTGTGACGCTGAACGGTTGCTGATACCCACTTATAACAATTTTTTTTAAGTACCTGCTGTATGTTTTGAGTTTTGCTGTATCTACTATTTATTGTGTATAGTTTATACTTAGTAACGTTGAGTTTTTAAAGTATAATTTATAATTTTTTTTATTTAATAATATGCTTCGACATTAGAACATTTTTCTAATTTTGCAAAGGCATCATCTACCGATATATTACGAAAATCGCCAAAACATGGAAACCAATGATGTTAGATAATTGCCCAAGCGGTATCCGTCTAACATGAGTGCACGTGAAGATCCTTAATTTAGATAACACACTCAGCTACAAGAATGTTGATACTGTTTTAGATTTTGTATTTTTAAAATAAAGAATACCCACATAATTATAATCTGATTCATGAGGTCTACGATTGGTGACACATCCGTTCGTAGCGAGCGACAAAACGGCTACGAAGTTTCCACAATAAAAAAAGACATCAACGCGAGAACTATGGTGATTTAAGCGCCACACGCGCTCACGGTTGGATCTTCGGCAAAGAATATTCTCTTTTCACACTTTTGATATTGACCATCAAAATTAAGATTCTGCTTGTAATGTAAGCCCTCACAAATACGTAATGTACAGAATGTGACCGCGAATCTGTACATCTAGGTATATTGAGCCTGACTTGAGAGTGACATACCTACAAGGTAATGGCGCCGGGGCGGGAACCAGAGCGCGTCTGCCAGCCGAGTGTGACTCGGGGCTGAGCGGGCCGCGAATAATGGGCCCTGGTAATCATCTGCTTTACTTCATACGAACCTCTTGGGAGATGTCATAGTTGGCAGAACGTTTGGTATTGCTTAGTGCATAGGTTCACAATCTTTTTGCCTCACCTTAGACAAGATTAAACAAATAGAACGCCCACCACCACAAAAAACAATTGAAAACTCGTATTTTGTAATAAATGCGGCAGCACCCCCTGTACAGCATAAACGCCCCCAATTGCTTCCGAGGCCCCTACCCTAGGGAAACTCCACTAGGCAAACACCAATTTTTAGAAGTTCAGTTATTTATTGATTTTCAGTCCTATCAAAAAATCAGTTTTGACAAGTAGCAACTTTCAAACAGTAGAAATCGCAATTCTCATTACTTAAGTAGGTCAATGTTTTATGTAGATACATTGTCTGCAGTCCATCATAAAAGTATTTTGCCTTTTTTATAAATGTACAAACCAAGGACCTGTAAAATCTTTAAAAGGTTTTTCTTTTTCTTCACTACAGTTTTCGCTTTGACTTGTACACTTGTTCTACACTGACCGAAAGACCTATTTCCAGGCACACGCCTGCACCGCCATCGCAGAGCCAAGTGGCGCCTCGGTGATCGTAAAGAGCTGTTTATGAGTGACGTCACAAGTCCCGTTAACGCGCGTGACCTTCACCCACTGCTGCCGCGGTCACTGTCCGCCGCCGCCTGTCCGACAACCGGACAACACTCCTCACTGACCGTTGCGTCTACATTCCGACAACCCTGTTTCCTTGTTGTTTTGATCATCCTTTCTAGGACTTTCTAAATTCGTAATGACGATTTTGGAATTAGATGTTGGGCGCCAGAGACGTACCCATAGATATACCTATGGACTTACCACGGTTAATAATCTAAGAATAAGAATACTTTATTGCGTAAGCACCGAGACACATGATCTTAAAATTAAAATACAGTATTATAAACTTTAAACTAAAATACAGTACTTACATCAAAAGTTAAAACATAGTTGTAATGATTAAAACAAAATAAGAGTAATAATAAATGCCTGTCGCGGCTTGCGCAATGGGATTTGCTCAGCTATTAGCTACAGGCTGATAGATTTTCAGCAAGCCCAATGTAAGGAAGCAGGACTCGAGCGCAAAAAAACAAATACGTGCATAACATGTGCGTGAAACTTGGTATATACAAAAATATTTACACTAAATATATAATTCGGATACATAAATAAATAAAACAGCATAAGTGTAAACTAATCTATTAACGTCTCCTATTTAGAATTCTGTATGCTGCGGTTCCCATAATTCAATTATCTATACATTTTTTTACGTGGGTAAATCCTCATGTATACTAGAACCACTTTGTGCGATGAGGCAGAAGGTTGGTTATTTGCCGATTGACATTCCTTTCCCCATTTAGCGCTGAGCCACGGGCTCGCGAGGCCACGGGTGCGCCGTTCATTCCACCGTAACCATACCACTCTTGTGGGCTTACTTGACTAGGCGCAACTCTTATTATTCTTAAGTTATAAGTGTAACCTTCCCCCTAGAGAGGCGCACGGGAACACAACGCATTAGATGGCGAAATGAGTCCCGTTAACTTGGCTCTTCTTCTGGGCTGGACTCTTCTGCGACTCGGGTCCGGATCTACGAATGTACCGCAGCTCTTGTCCTCGTGTTTTTAGCCATAGAGCGAATTACGGTCGAAAAGCATTGAAAGATGGTATGACATGAGAAAGATCAAGGCCAGTTTCGATTTATTTTAGATATACTATTAAACTTCCTTTTCTAACTACTTATTTTTAAACTATAATATCTGCAAATGTGAAAAGCACAAGTGCCTGGCTTTCGTTAATTTATAAAAAAATACCAACATTAGTCATATAGTAAGGTAACGTTATTAAAAAACAGGTTCATGGAATAACATCCCCACACTACTACGGTTACACGACGATTTGTGCTCGCTTTGCATATGCGATACAGGCGCAAACCGTCGTGGTCTTTAGTCACACACCAGTACGAAGAAACAATGATAGCTTATCAGATAGGTACCACCGACATGTAACGATACAACAACTTGAATAGAATCTAAGGAGAAATTGCAAGCCCGTAATTTGCGAATGAAGTCACATCGACCCCGTTTTAAGGCAGTTAAGAATTGTCTACCTCTGTGTTTCTTTATTTGCAAACCTTCTTTTATTTTCTCGTTAAAAGTTACCATTAAAGTAACACGAACAAGTAGAAGGTTGCAAGTTACAGTTATGTTGTGACACAGGGCAATGTTTGTCTTATCTGTAAAAGAAATTTGGCACCTGTCTGGCCCTTTCGGCGAGACCTAAATTGATTTTGATTTTGAATAACTGTTAAAGCAAAATCTTCACGAAAATAATCTCTATCATAGGAAATGAAACTATTTTTCCGGATTTAAATCGCGTATATTTGTTGAAAAATACGCGATTTAAATCCGGAAAAATTGTTTCATTTCCTATGTGTAACAATCGCGAAAACCTAAGAACTCGATATAATTTCTATCATTAAAATGTAAGCTATTTTTGAATCTCAAATATCACGATCTTGATTGTAGTTCGTAAACGGTGCAGATAAACAAAAATACACTTTAAAAGCTAAACGTGTACTAGATATTTGGTCGTAGGAGTCGGAGGTGGAACTTGAATGGCCTTAATTCTGTGCCCTCGGCCTGCGCCGGCGCCAGCAACGGACACAATACAACGGTGAAAGTGTAACGGAACGGAGTATCCTCACCGACGCACTGTCTTTTTCTTCGAAACACATACCTACCTTTTTGTCTAAAAATATGTTTACCTAATAAAGGATAGTACGCCACTACGGACAGGCTCTACATTTTCTTAAAGCGAAAGAGCCTTACGATTTAGCATCCTTTTTATATTTCATATTTT